TGGCACAATGTCCTTACCAGCAAGCAAATACATGTGCTGATCTCCTCCCTTCCCATTTGCTCGCTTCAGCCATTTCTAAACTTGTGTCAAGATCATCATTGTCTCATTCTCAAATGTCCACATCAGCAGCCTGTCCTTCCACACCACGGAAACAACTATCTGTATCTCCCGGCTCTCCTCAAACTGATCTGACGGCCCCTCGGCGTCTGTCTTTAGCAATATGTTGCTTCTGCGGTGATGTGTCAGGTATGCTGGCTACTCTACATCTTTTGCTTGGCGTGGGATTCCGGCCAGATTTCCAGTATGGCGTTGGACCTACAGATTCTGATCAGAAGACGCTTGGTCAGTTTTCTCAAAGGGGCTTTTTCATTTGTTTAGCTTCTATATTACCCTTAACTTGGATTTATTTTTTTATTTCACATCTTTTTTTGGCTAAAATGCTAGATCTAGCCTTCCTTCAAATTACGACATTACCTTCTTTTATTTTGTCAGATTTTCACTCTATCAGACTAAAGTTTATAAGTAGGTTTTCAAGACTGTCAGTAAATTATTTATATGAGATGCATTCAGTCTATTTATTTTAAGGGGATAAAGGACTAATAGTTAACTTTCTCACAATGATATGAGTAGGCCTCTCGTTTTTGTTGAATTTCATATAGCCTTGTTTTTTAGAAGTTATTCTTATCCAGAGTGAACCGTTGTCTCGACCTCGCCTAGGTCTCATTATCAACAGTCATATCACATTATATCATTGTGATAAAAACTCAACTTCATCACCTCAAACGAAATACAATGAATACATCTCATATATTAGTTTTTATGTGGCAGATTCCATAATCCAAGCTTCCTCCAGGGTGCTGGTACTTCATCAAAGTTTTATCTTCTTTTATCTAGACTGTTTTTGAGAGTCATTCTAATCTAACTTGATGGGGATTGAATATTTAACTTACTTCAGTGTCTTTTCTAATTTTTGAAAAGTATTTCTTTCTGTTTTTTTAGTTTAATACTCGAATCATAGAGAAAATGGGACTTAAATTTGGTCTCCAGGTTTTTCTTGACATATCTTGATAACCTTTGCAGTATATGATTGCCGTTCTAGAAAATCTCGATTTGTTAACTTTTGATGACCGTATTTATATCGTGTAATTTTTATTAATGTACTTCTAATTAGCCCGATTTGGCAACTAATCTACTCTCATTTGCCAACAGTTTGATCCAACTTGCCAGCGGGAGTTGGCAATTTATACTAGCGGATTATCTCATTTAGCTTCTTAGAATAAATTTATATTTTATGTCGTTTTAAAAATGTGAGGAAATAATGGATTTGAAGGTTTATTGGACCCTTAGAGAATTTTACTGCATCATGCCTTTCATATAAGTAGTTTTTTGGCGCTGATTCTCTCCCGGGCACATGTCTTTTAACATTTTTAAATTTCGCTGCTGTTTTTATCCTTTATGAGCCAAATTTATATTTTTGTTCTCGTGTTTAAACTATGAAAATAGCGTTTTCCTTTGCAAAGTCATTCTTCACATCTTCAAAAAGAAGCAATGAATTACTTAATTCTGAGATAAAAGCATTGCAGAATCTCATATCAGGCCTATATATTTACTACCAGTTTCGTTTTCTAATTATCGACTTTTTGTTTTTCATTTAAGCTTTACGGTACGGGAACATTATTTTTTCTTTTTAGTCTCAAAACTAACTAACAATTCCCTGTTTTTCCTCTTCCATTCATCTTGCTGATTCCTAATTATGCTTTTTGACTACTTCAATGGAGGCATTAGACTTTGTGTAATACGCTATGATGATTTCTAATTATCATTATAAGAGTCATCTCTTTAGTTTTTTGCATGCTCTGCCATTTCATAGCAGAAATGCACTCATTTTTATTTTTCCTATCCTTCATTAAAAAATGCTTCTAAAGAATCCATAATCCTATTCTTTAAAGCTTCCGTAGGACTCCATAGTTCCACAGTTTGGGCAATTTTATTAGCATGTTGTACCTAGATATTGCTGCTAATGATATTAATCATTTTTAGCCCCATCACCTTGCGGTTATTGGTTCTGTTCGTCTCCTAGAAAATTTCCCTATACTATTATATCTCGACTAGCTAATTCAACCACTATATTCATTATATGATTGAGCAAGACAATAGAGCATATTTAATTATTCAGCTTTCTTTCCTTTTCCACATATTTATTTTTCCATCTTTCTACTTATCCTCTATTTGGGCTCACCTTATTCTTAATCTTTGTCTGCATTTTTCTTAAAACAATATATAGCCTCACACGTATTCACAGCGTTTACATCCATTTGCTTGATACTTTAGATTCGATAAGTTTTCTTGTCTATTTATTTTGCTAAAATTATAGGCTCCTAGAAAATGGTAAATTCGCTATTTGTGAGCTTTGTCATCAAAACTTATGGCTTAACTTTTCTATTTCGTGTTCTACTGATATTCCAGAAATTTGCTTAGACCCAAAGTCATGTGGTCTCTTGTGACGATATGGTGGAGCGGTTAACGTGTCGAGATTACACGCTGCACTGTCATTGTTCAACTCCCGCTGGGGGTGTTGATAAGACCTATGCGAGGTCGAAACTGCAGCCCATCCTGGGTGAGAACAACTTTTGGAGAAGCAAGTTTATGTGAAATTCAATGGAAACATCAGTTCTACTCATATCATTGTGGTAAAATTCAACTACCAGTCCTTCATCATCTTAAACAAAATAGGGGGAATACACTTCATATAAAAGCATCGGGTACCAAGCTCTATTGCTTATCGACTTAACAACTATTTTTTCCTCTATGATTAGAATAATGTAGTTTCTATACTTTCTTCGATATTTTCACTATTGTGTTACCTATTA